ATCTTCCCAAAAATAAAAACCACATTAAACATAACCTTTCAATAGATGCCCAAATAGCCTCTTTAACCTAAAAAAAATACAAAAAAGGCATAAAAAAATCATAGTCTTCATTGTAGAAAGGAACTATAGCGCTAAGTAACCCCATTCAACAAAACAAAAAAAGTCAAATTTTATGAAAAAAATTCAAGGAAAAAAAGAAAAAAGGCAATGTTGGCTAGGGAAGAGAAACTAACAATGATGGCATAAAGAGACGTTGTTGGTAAAGGGGAAGAAGGAAGAAGTTGTAATGGTAAGGAAAAGAAAAAGGAAAAAAATTAAAGAAAAAAAGATAAGAGAAAAGAAAAAAAAAGAACAAAAAAAAGAAAGAAGAAGTATCGACATCAACGATCGATGGCTGGTAACGAGAAGGACAGCGACGGCGACGACTTTAATCGAAAACAAGGTTTGTTTTCTTTTTTATGAAAGAGATAAGAGAAATTTTTTTTTAATGAAAAAGTATGAAATGAATTAAAAAAAGTTTGTCTTATATATAAAAAAAAAGAGAGAGGAGTTTATCGGGTCAAGCCACCCACACTGAGTCTGACCCATCTTTGGCCTGATATAATCTATGACCTAGCTTTCTTGTTAACACCTTGTTTTAGTAAGCCAATTCCAAACTAGTAGTTGGACTTCAATGGCTTTGGTCTAATGATTACATGAGTTTGGGCTTTAACACCAAAGTTTTTTTTTTTTTTTTTTGGGTATGGTTTCTATACATTTTATTTTTTTTATTTGAATATTTTTACATTATTAATGTCAAGAATATTTTTTATAAAATATGCTTGCCTTGAAATAGTTAACAATGCTTATGAAAATAAATAGTTTTTAAAAATTTATTATTAGTGTTTATTCTTGTTTTTAATGTAAAAATTTTAAAAATAATAAGTAATGAAACTTTTGATGATGGGACTTTGGAAAGTTCAGGTAATGACTCCCGAGAATTCTCTAAGTGAGAAAATATTTTTAAAAATTACTAAAGTATTGGAATATTTAGAAACTATTTTTAATACGAAGATTTTTATTTTTCTTTAATTTGAATAATTTTCTTAAAGAAAAGATAAAAATATAAAATATTTATAAGTGAATGTATTTTTTAGGAAATAAATTTATTTATAAATAATTATAATATTGCACAACTTTTAAATTTTAATATTAAAAAAATAAAAAAATAAAATTTTCAATGGTGAGATCCTAAAGAAGTTCGAGTAGTAATTTTTTAGAAATCTCTAAGTGAGATAATTTATCTAAAATACTGCCAATGAATTGGGGCAGTTAGTATAATTTTTTATAAAGATTTTTCATTTTTTTAATAAAATAGGAAATGATTTTTTTAAAATTATAGACATCAAATTTTACTATATGCATGGTAAATATAAATATGAACCATCAAGGATGGGATTTTTGAGAATTTCGGTAGTGATTCTTAAGAGATCCTTAGGTGAGAAAATTCTTTTTAATATTGTCAAAGTATTGAAATATTTTCAAAAATTTTTCAATAAGCAAGGTTCTTATTTTTTTTCAACTAAAATAAAACAAATAAAAAATATATTTTTATACAATAAAAAATTTAAGAAAATTAATTTTTTAAATACTAAAATTAAGACATTTTTATCAAAATTGAAAGATAATACATAATTAATTGGTACCTTTTTTAATAGATGCTATGGGAGTGCTAATTCTTCTTCATGTGTAACTGACTTTTGAACCCAAATTATTTTCGTAGATGCAAAAATTATCTTTTTAATAAATTTTAATTAATTTTAAAATTTTATTAAAATGATAAGTTTTAATAGGTGACTAATCACATCTAACTAAAAAAGATTGGTGGTGACTTTTTTTTATTTTCAAATTCGTTTAGCGGTTCTTAGAACTGTTACGATAATTTATGCCAAGGAGATTGATCATTGATAATGTACTAATTGCGTAAGAATTACTTCATAAGTTTAAACTAAAAAGAACATGTAGAGAAGGATTCACAACAAATGGGTGTTATTTATTATGAAATGTATTTCAATTGTTTCTTACTTCATAATCTTTAATGGTGATATCTCAAATAGGTTTTACCCTGAACAGGGTTCGAGACAAGGAGACCCTCTCTCCTATATTTATTTTTTTTTTTATGTACATAGGGGTTTTCAACAATGCTAATAAAATACCAAAGAAAAGGATTGATAAGCAGGGTGCAGGTAACAAGAACAAGCCCAGATCACTCACTTATTTTTCACAGATGATAGTTTGTTATTCATTAAAGCAAACTAATATGAATACAAAAGAGTGAGGAACTTGCAATACATATATGAAAAAGGTTCAGGCCAACAAGTAAACTTTGAAAAATCCTTACTATATTTTAGCAGTAATGTTATAAAGGATTATCGAGAGGGTGTTAAGCAAATATTGGAGATCCAGGTGACATTATGCCTTGAAAAGTATTTAGGGCTGCCAACTATGGTGGAAAGGAATAAGAAGAGAGCATTCTGAGACATAAAAAATAGAATCCAAATAAAGATTGATTTATTAAGTAATTAGACTGTATTAAATGGGGGGAAAGAGATTTTTATCAAGTCAATTTTCCAAGCAATACTATCCTATATGGTGAGTTGTTTCCTTTTTCCAAAAAGCCTATGCTAGGAATTAAATGGTTTAATTAGTAACTATAGGTAGAGATCAAAACCGTAGAGAAAAGGTTTGCATTGGTTAGATTGGAGTAAGATGTGCCAAAAAAAAGGATTAGAAGGATAGATTTAGACACTTTGTACATTTCAACCTGCGCTTGTGGCCAAATAAGGATGGAGGTTGGTAAGGAACATTGATTTATTGGTTTAAAAGATTCTCAATGCAAAATATTTCCCAAATAGTACATTCTTGGATCCCTTAATTAGTCAAAATCTTTTATTCAAATGTAAAAGTGTCCGATCAATTAAGGACGTTCTAAAAACAGGTTTGAAATGAAGAGTAAGGGATGGGAATATCTAGTTTGGGGAGACAGATGGCTGCCAACGAATAGAATAATTAGCCCATGCAACAATGGCTAAGGTCTACTTGGTGAAAGTGTAAGGGTGGTAGAATTGATTGACCCTAATATAAAAACCTAGAAGATGGACCTCGTATAAAGAATATTTATAATGAAGGAAGTGGATTTGCTATGTTTAGCTCCATTGAATAAAAATCACCATAAAAATACGCTAACATAGAGTTTGGAGAGAAATGGATTATTCACGGTGAAAAGTGCCTACCATATGCTTTTGTTGAACATGCCAAATAATGGTGAAATAAACCACCAAAGAGAAGAACCATGCAATGAGATGGACAAAAGATTTTGGAAAAAACTATACTGAGTGAAAATTTCAAATAAAATCCAGATTTTTAGGCAAAAGCTAAATAATGGTTTTCTATTGGTTTTTAGCAACCTGTGGAAGAGGCATATTGAGGTTAGTCTAATTTGCGCAATGTGTGTTTAATAGGAAGAAACGATAGTGCATGCAATTTGGGAATGTAATCATGCCAAAGCCATATAGGACTGCATGAATATATCACACAAGTGAGAAGTGTGGAACATGAAACCAAAAGAGGGTGGCTGAGTATAATTGTAGAAAAGGTAGAAGATGAATGTTTTGAAGCTGGCTTGGTGTTGTGTTAGGCTGTGTGGCATAATAGGAACCTTGAAGTCAAAGTAGAAAAAAATTGAGAGCCAATGGCCACTGCAAAATTTGCCAAAAAGTACTTGAAAGAATATATGAGAACAAATGAAATAAAGGCTGAAAGTGATCATGAGAGAGAAGTTAGATAGAAGCCGCCACCTTATGAAAGTGTTAGGATAAATTTCAATGAGAGTTTACATGTCCAGAAAAATGTGGGTGATGTGGGAATAGTAGTAAAAGACGATGGGGGTAAATTTTTTAGTGTTGTTGTAGCAAAAATGTAGAACGTAAGAGATCCACTAATGGTAGAGGCTTTAACAGCTATAAAAGCCTTCAGTGCAAACAAGGAAATGAGCTTTTTTTCAGTTATTGTGGAAGGAGACTTTATACAGATGATCAATAGTATAAATGCAGATATAGTGGATTTGTTTGTTATAGGAAACTTGATGAAAAATAAGCATGAAATAGGTGCCAGTTTGGGGTAGTGAAAGTAGTACATGCAAAAAAAAAAAAAAAAAAGGTTAATGAAGCCGCATGTGTGTTAGTCAGATATGCATTGAGTTTAGACTTTATTATGAATTGGATGGAGAAATGATCTCTTATTGTTCAAGATATTGTTTCTTTTTAATGTATTGAAATTTAGTGGAAGTAAAAATAACCTTTCAAAAAAAATAATCAATTAAATAAATTAGAGTTTCTCATATTAATTATCCATCGAGATGTTAATTGTACCTATATTTAATGAGAAACTCAATTTTTTATTTTTGAATAGGAATAAAGATGGATATTACATTATGAGTATAAAGATGATGATGTGTATGATTTGAAATTTTATTGGGTACGAAGATGAGGATAGATAATATAGTACCTACCCCATATCTATACCCAACAATATGTATATTTATATAATTTAATAAATATATTTTTTATTAAATAATATAAATTATTATTTTACATTAATTAAAAGAATATATTTTTATTAAAAAATATATTAATATATATTTATAAAAAATTATTTTAATATATAAAATAAAATAAAAAAATAATTTTTATTTTTATTTTTTTAAAAAATTACAGGTATGAGAATTATTAATATTCATTAAATATTTATAAGGATGAAGATATGAATAAATTTAAAATATTTATTGAATATGAATACAAGATGAATATAATATAAAATTTAAAAATAAAAAATAAAAATATTCTATTCTTCCTATATCTTACTCATTAATATCTCTAATTATTTAACCAAAATATTTGATCACAACATTCAATAAAAGTGAAATTATGGATAATCTTATAAGTCCGACGTTATTGAAAAAAACGATGTAAAAACTTAGGAAGCAATATAATATTTAATAATGTTTATGTCAAAATTGATCATTAGTACAAGCCGAAAAAATCTGATTTGACCTTAAACCAAGGAGATTAATTGTAAGAAAAATAAAATCACATGACGCACCTTGTCACAGCAAAAAATTACGATGAGTCAAAATCTAACTTACTACTTAAAGCAGGATTCTGATGCCCTACTTCGGTACGGGAAACAGTTATTCGCATAACCAAACAATGCTCACGACCACGGTTGCAGAAAGAAGTAGTTCAGCACACGCAAGAGCAAGAGTGAAAGAAGACTTCGACAAAATTCACAACTGAAAAAACAAGAAAAAGAAAGCGACAACATGGGAGAAGAGAAGGAAGGCACGTCGAGTTCACTGAGTGAAGGACTCGCTCCCCGTGACCCGGACGATCTCCCCAAATCTCCTCCTAGTTCTCCCAATTCCTCCACTCGCAAGGTATTTCTCTTTATAATAATTTCCCCAATTATTTCTTTTTAGTGAGGTTAAGCGCCACTGAGAAATTATTATTAACGAAAAGCAAGCTTGCTCTGCTTATTACTATGCTGTTTGTGGAATAGGAAGCTTTGCTTGGTTGATGCTTTTGCTCGTTCAATTTTTTTTTTTTTTTTGTAAAATAAATCAAACCCAAATTCACTCTCTGTAATGCATGTTCCAATATAAAGCATTGAAGGAAAAGACTCTCTCACACACCCATGCATCTCCGCACTCATGTACCCTGATGTGGGTATGCGAGAGTACTCGCACCCACGTGCACGTGAATGTGTGTGCACTCAATACAATAGACATGTTTGAGTTGATTTTTTGGTTGGGTATTTAGTATGGAACTTTGCTGAATTATTGTTTTAGAAATGAACTGTTTGCGTGTCACATGTTGTTAGCTCTTGCATTTGACAGGCTTGTTATGCTGTTCTACAAAGCTGGGTCTCAAAGAAGTTCATGACTGGATGGTAACAAGCATTTTTCAATCATTTTCCATTTTTTTTTTGTTAATAATTGTTGTGGTTTGCTTATTTATTTGACTCTTCCCTCAGTATAACATTGTTTGTGTGGTGACATTACAGCGTGGTACTCTTTCCAGTTGCTGTTACATTTCTAGTGACATGGTGGTTTATTCAGTTTGTTGATGGTTTCTTCAGTCCAATCTATGCTAGGCTTGGATTTGACATATTTGGTAAGGCTTCAAAGTCCTAGCTGAATGTTCTTCCAATGCTGACATTTAGAAATGTAATGAACTGCTTTATGACTTTCGTGTGTCAGCTTATGGCTAATTTACTAATGATGTAAATTTAGTTAAAAGAGATTAGTGAAATTCTGCTAATTTCCTAGTGTCTAAATATGTTTTCTGTACTTTCAATATCCATGATAAAAGCTGAAATATATCATGGTTACATCCATTCATGACAATTCTTTAACAATGAGTTAATTCAGCTAATCATCTTAGAGACAGAGCAAACGGGAATTGGGAAATGAATAATCAAGGGAGATATAAATCTGAGTTTCACAGTTGTTCACTGTAGTTTAAGCCCATTTATCATTGTCTGCATGATCGACAGCTAGTCAGCTAGGGTTTATAGTTGTTTTATAATCTAATATTCTTAAGAGAAACAGGAAAAAATGAATTAAAAAAAAAAGATCCTTAAGTTTCAAACCTATAATTCCACAATTGCATTGGACCACACAATCCAGAAGAAAGAAAACGTAAGCTTCACACCTAGCATTCCTTGGGAGTCACCGCTGAGGCTGATTGCTTCACACAATCACAATGCAAGTGATGCTGAAAATCTCTTATAATATTCTATATTTGCTTAAATAGCACATTAATTTTTATATAGGCTTCTACCACCCCTAATTCTAAGTAAACCACGACTCCTATTCCAAAGACTCAAAATTAAAAACTTACAAACTTGACTTAAAGCCAAAACCTAATAGCATAAAGGAAACCAATACTAAGATCCTAAACCCTAATATAAATCTAAATACCAAATGCATCCCTGTATCTGTAAAATTAAGCCCCATAAATACAATGAAATAACAAATAAAAGCTTAAGAAAGTAATCCCCCTAATTAGCTTCATTGCATTCTGCATCACTATGTATGATTTCATTAGTATGTGGCAGCTTTGCATTCTGGTCACAATTGCACTCATGTTAGCAGTTGCTTATATTTTTCTGGAATATTCTAGAGGCTATCATAATTGATGGTTGATGCTTTAGGCTTCCATATCGCCCCAACTTATGCAATATTGAAGCATTTGTTGCTATAGATGTAATTATTGATGTTTTAATGATATACAGTCATCTTGGTGCAGATTTAGAGAATAGTTTTATTTTAAGTTCCTGCATGGCATCAAGTTTCCTAGTGGAAAAGGATGCTTGAAAATATTGTTATCTTCTTTTCATTTGTTTCCTATTTCGCTGCACTGTTTTAGAAACTTTTCTGATCTTGTCTTTGATTATGATTAACCTGAGGCTCGGAGTGCCTGGTCTCTCTTTTCATAACTGCATATCATACTGAAATTTTGCATGTATTATGGTGCAGGCCTTGGGTTCATTACATCTCTATTGTTTATATTTTTTGTGGGCATATTTGTTTCATCATGGCTGGGTGCCTCTGTTTTCTGGCTTGGGGAATTGTTAATCAAACGAATGCCCTTTATAAAGCACATATACTCAGCCTCCAAACAAATTAGTGCTGCTATTTCCCCAGGTAATACTATTTTTTTTCTAAACAGTTTCTTATGCCCTTTTTCCATCACTCTAGAATGTAGTGTTATGATTTCCAGGTTCCAATTTATCATCACAGTTAGAAATTCATAATATTTTATTATTTTTATATTAGATTTGCAATGTGAGTTAGTCTATAATTCGACTTCTTTTTTATCTTCATTTACATTTTTTTAAGTAAAGTGACTTAAAAAGTTTCCATAAGATTAGAAAAAGGAAAATTTTGGCATAGAAAAGAAAATTGATTGCTTTAACTAGTTATGTTGAACCAGAATGCAATATTAAAAAAAGTCTTGGTGGAGCTTGGCTGACAAGTTGTAGTTTCTTAGAAGATCCAGTTAGAAGAATGTTTTTTTTCCTTTTGGGTTGGGGGGTAGTGGAGGGTGAAGAGTATTTTGTGAGAAAAAACTAGCAATGCTTTGGGTTCTCAAAAGGCTTATATGAGTGAAGAAATCTCTAGAATAAAGCTTTTTTATTCTTTTATAATTCCCTTATTACAATGCTAGAATTGCATGAAGATATATAGGCTAAAGATTGGATATTCCCTGCGTTAAAACCCAAGATTTTCATGTATTAAAATAGCTAATCAAAGGAGTAATTTACTCTCTACACATAATAGGAAAAATAGCTAATTGATTTAGTGTAATTACCAAAATCACTCCTTATTCTAAAAATAAAAGACTTAACTAAAATAGACAAAGTCAACTAATCAAGTAATAATGAAGATTAGATTTCCACACTCCCTTTCAAGCTAGGTGGTAGATGTCAATCATGCCTAGCTTGGACTTTGGATTCTCAAAGTTGTTCCAAGAGGGAGCTTTAGCGAGTATATTTGCAGTTTGGGGGCATGTGGGAGTACAAACTAATCTAACAATTCCTTCATATATCTTCTCTTTGATGAAGTGACGATCAATCTCCACATGTTTGGTCCTGTCATGATGAACAGGATTCTTTGCTATACTTATGGCAGCTTTTTTGTTGCAGAATATTTTCATGGATTCTTCTGTAGAGGTCTTTAACTTCCCTAGCAACCTTTTTAGCCAAATTCCCTCACACATGCCATGAGACATAGCTCCAAACTCAGCTTTTTCACTACTTCTAGCCACCACAGCTTGCTTCTTGCTTTGCCAAGTAACCAAATTTCCCCACATATAAGTATGATAACCAGTAGTTGATCTTCGGTCTATCACGGATCTAGCCCAATTAGCATCAGTGTAAATTTCAACATTTTGGCGTGATATCTTCTTAAAAATAACCCCTTTCTAGGACTTTTCTTTAGGTGCTGTAAGATTTGATACATGACTCTCAAGTGTTCCCTTAGTTGGGTTGTTCATGAATCTGCTTACCATGCTAACCGAAAATCTGATTTCTGGTCATGTATGAGAGAGGTAGATGAGTTTCCCAAAAAGTCTCTGATATCTGCCCTTATCCATTGGTGGACTTCCTTATTCCATGCCTACTTTATTTATTGTGTCTATGGGGGTGTCAGCAGATTTGCATCAAAGCATTCCGATTTCCTTTAGTAAGTCTATGACATACTTACGTTGTGAAACAGAGACGCCATTCCTTGAGCAAGCTACCTCCGTGCCAAGAAAATATTTGAGGTGTCCCAAATCTTTGATTTCAAATTCTTTGGCTAGGAGGTTCTTTAGGTTGCTAATTTCTTCCACATAGTTTCTAGTAAGAATAATGTCAACTACATAGACAATAAGAATGGCTATTTTTCCTTCAGGTGAATGTTTGACAAATATGGTGTGATCGGTTTGGCATTGTGAAAAACCATACTTCTTTACCACTATTGTTAGTCTATCAAACCATGCACGTTGGTATTATTTGAGACCATATAAAGACTTTCGAAGTTTACATACCTTGCCAGAGTTGTCTTGGTTTTTGAATCTTGGAGGAATTTTCATGTAAACTTCTTCTTCTAGGTCACCATTAAGAAATGCATTTTTGACATCTAGTTGGTGGAGTGGCCAATCTAGATTCGTTGTCAATGATAATAGTACCCAGATTGATTTAAGTTTAGCAACCGGAGCAAATGTCTCCTTGTAGTCAACACCATAGGATTCGGTAAATCCTTTGCAACAAGTCGAGCTTTGAATTTATTAATGCTTCCATTTGCATTGCGCTTAACAGTAAAAATCTATTTCCACTTAACTAGAATTTTCCCTTTAGGTAGTTCTGAAATCTCCCATGTTTTGTTCTTTTCTAGGGCCTTGATTTCGTCCAAAACAGCCATCTTTCACTTTGGTTGCATGAGTGCTTCATGAATATTGTTGGGAATCTGCATATTGTTTAGTGTGGTAACAAAAGTCCGATAAATGGATGATAAACCTTTACAAGAAACTACATTACAGATTGGATTTGAGTACATGATCTCACACTTTTCCTTAGAGCAATTGGTTGATCCAGATCATCAAAAGATTCAATAGAATCAGATTCAGTAATAGTGTTACTTGTGTTGGTTTCAAGTATCTCTAAAATTGGTTCGGATTTTTGGTTTTTCTTTGAAGGTGTACATTCTTTTAGATCCTTCTGAGTTCTATGTCTTCTTGAATAGACAATCAATTCTTTGTTTGTTTTCCTTTGTGTGGACTTTAGGCTTGGAGGATTTGGTTTTATGTTTTGGACATGGAAGGGAGTTTGAGAAGTGTTTGGTGGTTTGGTAATAGGATCTTCCCAAAGTTGATATTACCATGTGATTGGATTCTCCCCCTGAATGGCAGTTTTGGGAAAGTAAGGTTGATTTTCAAAAAGGGTAACATTCATGGAATGGTAGAATTTCTTTGTTACTAGTAACACTTGTATCCTTTCTGATTTGGGGAGTATTCGAGAAATATGCATTTGATGGATTTGGGATCTAATTTGCTTTGGTTTTGTTGGCTGGTAAGAATAAATGCAGTGTATCCAAACACTTTAATGGGAATAGACAAGATGATTCGAAGGTGAGGATAGGAACCTAGAAGGGATTGACAAGGGCTTTGAAATTTTAGGACTTGAGAAAGCATTTTGTTTATAAGATATGTAGCGGTAAGAAGAAGCTCACCCAAAAATGCTTAAGTACATGATAGCCATCACGAGGGAACTTGCAACTTCCAACAAATGTCGATTATTTCTTTCAGCAATGCCATTTTGCTGAGGAGTATTGACACACGAGCTTTGATGAATTATACCATGCTTCATTAGATATGATCCAAGGATTGAATTGTAGTATTCTCTTCCATTATTAGTTCTCAACACTTTGGATTTTGGTTTTGAATTGAGTTTGGATCATATTGTTGAAGTTTTGGAATAGCTGACCCACTTTTGATTTTTTCTTCATAAGGAATACTCAAATAACCTTGGTGTGATCATCAATAAATGTGACAAACCATCTGGAGCCAGTAATGTTATTTACTCTAGAGAGACCTTAAATGTCACTGTGTATCATTGAAAAATGATGGGATGATTTGTAAGGCTGATTAGGATATGTGGTACAGGTATGTTTGGATAGTTGGTAGACTTGACACTGAAAGTTGTGAGAATTTTTATTGAATAATGAGTGAAACAACCTTTTGAGGTACAAAAAGTTTGGATGACCTAATCGATAGTGCCACAACATGATAGTGCTATCTTTTTATTATTACTAGATGATGAAGCCACACAAGAGGTCCTATGATATTGTCTTTCAGAATTATTAACTCTTAGGATATAGAGTTTTGCACACATCATAGCATTGCCAATCATCTTCCCTAAGTCCAAATCCTGAAATTCACACATATTTGGAAGAAATTTAGTAACACACTTAAGATCTTTTGTATGTTTGCTTATAAACAGTAGATTGCAACTTAGATTTGGGACAAATAGAATAGAATCGAGTGTTATCTGTTTGGAAATAACAACAGAACCTATATTGGGCACTTTTGAAAGTGACCCATCAACAATTTGAAATGTGAAGTTTTCATGACATGGGTTGCTTTTACTAAATACAGATGCTTCCCCAGTCAATGTTTGAAGCTCTTGAATCTACAATCAATGAACTTGACTTTTCTAGTTTTACACTCAAGGCACTTAGAATTATCTTTTTGGGCTAAATAACCTGTTCCATTAGGAGTAGTAATGTTTTGCATTGATTGTGGAACCATCATTTGGAGAAGCTCCAGTTGTTCTTTGCTAAAAAGACTTGGTTTGGTAGAGACTGAATTTTTAATAGTAGCTAAGTTGCCGTGGTTGTCTCTGTCTTGTGAAGACCATGAAGGTTTCTAGTTGGCTGGTTTCCTGTGGATCTTCCAACATGTTTCCTTTGTGTGTCCAATTTTCTGACAGTGGTCACACCTAGGTTTGCCTTTCTTTTTCTGATCAATGTTGTTCAACTGGGATCCCTGGACAGCTAGAGCCAAATTTTTAGGGGTTGAAGCAACTGTTTGTGTTCCCATCATTACTGTTTTTTTTTTCCTGCTTTCTTCTCTACGAACTTCTGAAAAAGCTTCTCGAATACTCGGCAAAGGCTTGGCGCTAAGGATTCTTCCTCAGACTGCATCAAGGTTCTTGTCAAGACCAAGTAGAAACTTGTAGAGTTGATCCTTCTCAACTAACTTCTTTTACTGCTTTCCATCGTCAGAGCACTTCCATAACACCTTCGAGAATATCAAGTTGTTGCCAATGTCGGATTAGAAGGTTGAAATATTCTGTTATTGAAAGTTCACCTCGTCGAAGATCATGAAGAATACTCTTGATTTTGAAAATTTCTGAAGTGTTGTCAACATTGGAGTATGTTTCCTTTGCTGCATCCCAAATCTCTTTGGCTGTTTTGTGGTACATGAAATTTTCTTCAGTCTTATTGGTCATAGGATTGATTAACCATGACATCACCATGTTGTTCTCCAACTTCCAGCTTTTGAACCTTGCATCATCCTTTTTTGGAGGTGCAGCTACTTCGGTAAGATAATCTTCCTAGCCCTTTCCACACATGAACATCATAATCGACTGGGACCATTGAATATAGTTTTGTCCGTTGAGTTTGTGCCCTGTAATTTAAAGGATTGATCCTTCGGGTACACCGGGATTGTTGGAGACTCTAGCTCCAGGGTTAGAGGTAACCTCTGTGCTGAGCTCTCGCTTCTACTGGTCATGTTAGACTCCAAGTGCAGAATTTCAAAGGTTCAGATCGTGCTCTGATACCATGAAGAAATCTCTAAAATAAAACTCTTTTATTCTTTTATATTTTTTTTATTATAATGTTAGAATTGCATGATGATGTATAGGCTAAAGACGGAATATTCCTAGGCTTGAAACCTGAGATTTTCATGCATTAAAAGAGCTAACCTAAGGAGTAATTTACTCTCTACGCATAATAGGGAAAATAGCTAATTGATTTGGTAATTACCCAAAACAATCCTTATTCTAAAAATAAAAGCCTTAACTAAAATAGACAAAGTCAACTAATCAGGCAATAATGAAGATTAGATTTCAACAATGAGAGGTAATGGAACTTGTTCAATGGGAGTGATAACATGTGGGAAGATATCTCTAATGGCTGGCCTTGTATCATTCTTCTTTGATGATTAACCTAAGCTGGTTTTCCTTTTGTAGTCATGGCATTACTAAAGATAGCAATTAGCAAGTTGATGCTTGGTATAATTTAACTTGATAATTATCTTTTCTTGTACCTCCTTACAGACCAAAATACCAATGCTTTTAAAGAGGTTGCAATTATTCGTCATCCTCGTCTTGGTGAATATGCATTTGGTTTTATCACATCTTCTGTTATCCTTCAGGTAAGTATTACATATCCAATTCAAAGAACCAGATCTTATTGTTTTACAATTCGGTTAAGCTTATTGTGAGAACCATCTTATGGACATTAAATGTCATTTGTTAACTGGTAATGTTGATATGCCAGGACACCTATTCCCAAATTTGTTTTGCTTTTCATGTTTTTCTTTTATTCTGATTTTTTTTTTTGAAAGACTAAGATGAGGGATGCTACCCATATTAAATGCAATTGCATTTACTAAATTGTCCATCAAGTGAATTGTTGCTGTTAATTTTGTTTTATCTTTTTAAATAGAGTTTAAAATGACAACTCTCTGCAAGTTGGTACATTGCTTTCCTCTCTAATTTGGGAAATAGATTAGAATGACACATCTGTGAAAATAGGAACTTTGTTTCCTCCCAAATGTGATAAATAGATTATCTTATGACTTTGTACTGAATTGAGTTGTGCTTGGTATTCAAGATCTTCTATATTATAAATTTATGTAGAAATATGAGGCTGCATGCTAAAAGCCTAGGCAAGATGTAAGCAGATTTGGTTTCTTTAGTTGATGATTCAGTTTTCTCTGGATTGAGAGGAAGATCACTAATTTCCTATTGAAATTTGAAACTTGAAATTAAGGTTCAAGCATAAAGCATAAGTCTGCAGTGTCTGCATATATAGAAGTTTTGAATTTCTGGAAAAACATGCTGCATATTGGCTGGTACATCATGGAAGATAATGTTTTTATTGGCAATGGATATCATTTATGGTCGCATCTTGTTGAGCTTCTCAGATGCAATAATTGGCTGTTTGTTTCCAGAGGGATAATGGGGATGAAGAGTTGTGCAGTGTTTATGTACCAACAAACCATCTATACATTGGGGACATATTTCTTGTCAATTCTGAGGAGATCATAAGGCCAAACTTATCTATTCGAGAAGGCATAGGTCTGTTATCTATTCTTTGAAATAATAATGACACTTTTTGTTGTTTTTAGCTGTGAAGTCTCTTACATCATGTTTGCAGAAAATGATTCTTTCTATTTCTGTGTATTATATCATGTTGGTTCTGGTAGATTCATTCTTTTGAATGATGGTTTTGAATAAAAAATAGTGATGCTAGTTTTTATAGGTGCAACATATAATGGCATATGTATCTTTTTTTCTCTTTTTCAATTATCCTTTATTCAAGCTTTTTTGGTTTTTTATTAATTGATGTCTAGTATAACTGATTATTGTCACCCTCACAATGCATTGAATACTATTCACTCTTGCCCAACTTTTCTGTGATGTATCATTATGGAAGAAGAAAAAGCTAAAGAGACTTGTCAATGCTAGCTTTTCGTCTTTGTGGGGAAAGTGGCAAGTGGTGTGATTGTATTTAAAGAACATGATATTTCTCTAGGTGCTTTAGAAGTCCAGTTGGCAACTAAAAAATAAAATGTTAGATTGTTATGGTAATTATCCATATTTTTGACAGCTACACTGGAGTACTAGACAGGACAAACGAAATATTGATTGCATAAAACAGTAAAGAGCCACTACTTACTTATCCAAAAAAAATAGCTACTACTTGTAGGTGACTCTAAATTCAACTAGATGTTTGGCACTGGAGCTGCTAATTCTTTATATGCTTAATGTTTGTTACAGATTGTGGAATTCCTTCTCAAATCTCTTATTTCAGTTAAATTAGAAGGGTGTTACTACTTGAATAGTTTATTACATTTTTGCTAAATTGCGAAAATCCATGAACTCTTGACTATAGACTTTATCATTCAAGTAATATAACTATTTATTATTTAGTGACTATCTTTCTACTTAACTAATACACTTTTTGAAATACAATGTTAAAATTTGAAATTTCCAAGATATTTTGGAAATGCGATTGAAAGAGGGGAAAAGAGAAATAAATATCTTAAGAATTTAGCATGACATAACTACCTTCTGTTCCCCCAATCTCTCCTCACTGTCGGCAGAAAAAAAAAAAAAGACAGAGAAGAAAATTTAAAATAAATAAATGAAGGTGTGGACAGAATGTATTTAACATTCCTCCTACCATAGGAGATATTAGTATCAATCAGGATAACCATTGATATGTTGTCATGCCTACATGTGTTTCTTGCATTTTTATATCCTTTGAGTTTGGATTTTATTCCAAGTAGTTTATACATAATTTTGCATGGTTGGGTGATTATCCTATTTTCTTTTTAAATGCAGAGATAATTGTTTCAATTGGCATGACAATGCCGCAAGTAATTTCCCCTGTACAAAGGATTCCGTATCAGGGTAATAGGATTCCTCTGAACAGAATAATGTGAAGACATGGAAAACGGGTGATTCTGCTGTTGTCTCCTTTATCTGTGGGATTTATGCAGGGAATTAGAGGAAGTTTTTGTTTTTATTTTTGTTTTTCCCATCCTGTTGAATCATTTTGCTGATAGAAACATTTGGCTTTTGACTATTCGGATGGTTGAAGTGTCTGAAAAATAATACCTGGATGGTAATATGGATCTTCACATTTGTATCAGGGTTATAGGAGTAGAGAATTTCTTGCTCAGATAACACTCTTCAATACCTGAAAAGGTGATTTATTATCATTGGAAGATCCTTGGCTGAATTGTCAACATTATGGTTGGGTGGCAATCATGAACTGCATACTGTTGTATCTGTATACTTGCCGTGTATAGAAACAAAAATCCAGATACTGTTTCCCTTTGTTCAGTTGTGTATAAACTTTCATGAAATATTTTTTTCATGAAGTAGGGAATTAAAAAGCAAATGCGAGCAATTATCTACAGTCTGGTAATAGGCTTCAATTCTGTTTGTGATACTAAATTGAAGTGGCTTGGGTTTTAATACATTGGCGATTAGTACAAAAGACCATGTTTATTAGTTTCGTAACATTCTTGGGTAGTACAGAAGACCAGCAAGACATGCAAGGTAATGCTCATTCTCAAGGCCATCTTTCCTTAATTGTAACCATTAAACCTTGTTTCATATGCAAAGTGATGCTGTTTTAAGGGTTCAACGGATTGTTTTCTACAACTTGGATATGGTAATTGTGGATAAAACCTGATGCAATCATCTTCATTAGAGTAAAAGCAATCTCCTTTCCTAAACAAATCCTGGGCCCTGCGTTGAACGCAAAGAACTTGTGTGGCCACTCATGTTTAATCCCTCCGCCGTGGGTGATCCATCTCTCTGGCTGGAGTTCATGGCAATCATCTCCCCACACCGATGTCATCCTTCCCATAGCATGTGTGCAGATCAGGATATTTTTTCCCTGATTGATCCTACGGCCATTAGGAAGGGTGTCATTTTTAACATGAGTCCTTATCTCGAAAGGAACTGGTGGGAGCAGTCTTAAAGTTTCGCATAACGCCGCGGGGAGATAAACCAATTTATTCAACTCTTTAGCACCAAATGCCAGCCATTTCATTTCTACATTTTGTGGAAAATATTGTTGTATTTCTTGGATTCTCTTTTCAACAACTGGATGCTTCAAAAGAAGCCAGAAGGACCAACTGAGAACCGTGCTTGTAGTATCTTGAGAAGAGAACATGAGACCTGACATGTTGTCTCTAATTACATTATTAGAAGCTGATACAGTTCTAAGGAGTTCGTGTCCGATCAAGTGAAGTCCCAAGGCATTGAAATCTACATCCTCATCTTCCATTCTATTGCTCATCTCCTTTCGCTTTAGCGACACTTGTTCAGCCAACACGTTATCAACTGTTGTCCAAACATCACCCAATTTCCCCTCTTTTCCAATCCCCAGCCATTTCTGCAACTTCCAAAAACTGTCCGGAAGGATATGCCGATCTAATATGGCTTTACAAGCATTCGATATGGCATTTGATAATAGAGTTTCGTGGAAACTCACAGGGAAGGAATTAGCATCATCAAAATCCGAATTGAAAAGCGTATTTCCAAAAATATCCAATCGATTTTTCCAGCCCATCCCTTTGGGATATATCCCAAAGTTGGTGCTGGTTATGTGATGCACATTGCCAGGATCCCTGGTGATCATTAAATCTAGATTGGTAAACCAAGCGCCTTTCACTATAAACGTGCCGCCGCTGCTTTCAAGAATTTCAACGGTTATGTCATGAAGCCGGTGGAAGTTGGTTAATAACACAGGTAACATTCCAACTACGGGCCAGTCCAGTTCCACGGAAGCTCACTGGTTTTCCTGGAATAACCAAGAATAATAGCAAACAAAATAGCTGGCAAAATCAAGGAATTCTATATGATTGCATATGTAATTTCCTTAATGTGCATAAATTAAGCTGCATATATATACACACACAGAAAAAAGCTATATAATAATAATAATACCCTTCAAAAGATGATAGCATGAACTAATTAGATTAAACTTGCAATTCTATATTTTTTAATAGTATTGCCCTATACTTTCAAGTTGAAATCTCATGGTCTAACAGTTAAAAGAATGATAAGTTTTATAAACTAATCCTTATATTATTTTTCAATAACCAATTAAAGGCTCAAGTTATATATGTATATACGATCGAGTATAATTAATAATAAATTATATTAGAAAGAACTCATATTTGAAAATACACAATGACAAAATATTCTAATAGATTATAGGAAGTCTTGGCGGGGATAGGTATATTATAGTGATTTATGTCATCATTCAGATACTACAAATCATTTTTGGCTTGAGAAATGTTAAGGATAATATATCTAATAACACTGGAATTTTACTAAAAATAAACTATTGCATTTTTTTTTGCATGAAATAAAGCTATGAATAATTTTATTTTATTAGAATACAAATCTTTGACATTATTAAATATTTTATATCTGTGTTAAAATCTTCTTGATTGGTGTATATAATTTATAAAAAATGCTTACAAGCATTTTTTTTTTTTTGGATAAGCTAGATATTTGAAGGAATATTATTTTAATAATTTTGGCAATTGAATATGCATTTTCATCCATTTTCATATTTAATGGGCACCACTACAATGAAATTAAAATTCATAATCTTAATATTATAAAAAAATCATAACCTTAATTTTATATAATAAGATATCAAAAGTTTGTTTTTATTTTTTGCAAAATTCCAAAGTTCATTTGGATATTAGTTTGAGAAAGTTATGATTTATAATCCATAGTATATTATCCATAGTATATTAGTTTCAAAGAAAATAATTGTTTAGAATATAAAACGTTTAACTATATTCAAATATTTAGAATAGGGTAAGATTATGGTTAGAGGAATTATTATTATTATTATTTGTTAGCTTTTTAGGAGAGATGATGATCCAAGAGGGGGTGAATTAGATTTCTCTAAATTCTTCTCAAACAATGATTTCAAGATAATTGAATGAAGAATTAAATCAATAAACACTTTTGATAAAAATATGATGCAATCAATAACAATTAATGAACCTATAATCAAATATAAACAACAATAAATGTAATGAGATAAGGATATAAAAATCAAACACAATGATTTATAGATGTTCGGTTTTTCTCCACAAGGCACCTACGTCTTTTTGGTTGTCTACACCAAGGCTTCAATCCACTAATTGAAGAAAAATTCTTACAAGATACAAACCTATCTTATACTAAATCTATATTTTTTTTAATGCTTAGATAGCAATCTTTACCTCTACAATATCAAGAGAATACCTCACATCTTACTTATAAGATAACCCAAATAATTTTTACAAATAAAAATAACCTTCAAGGTTGAGTGTTTGCCTAATGAAGTACAAAGAAATTTGATAAATGAACAACACAATATAGCTTGGATACAAAAAATATAAAAGATATGAATTTTAAGCTCTAATAACTCTTGATTCTTTGAGAAAATAAAAATATAACTTGTTGGTTCTTGGTCTCTTGATTCATCAATCTTTTTGGTGTGTTGAAATGTTCAATATATAGAGAAAATGAGGAACTAGTTGTTTGGGGATGGTTTTGGAGTTGAAAAGGCCCATTGAAGCTTGATAAACTAGTCGTTGGAGTGTTTCTAGGCATAGGGGATCTATCCGTTCTTAGAAGGGATCGATTAATTTGTGTATTTCACTTCATTTTTTATCATTACAGCTGAAGGGATCGATTGGTTTTGGCAGGGGATTGATCCTATGCCTTAACCGATCGATCCCTTCTTGTAAGGGATCAATCATTTTTAGTGTTTTTCAAATCTATTTTGTTTTTGTAAGAAAAATCAATTGATCCATTACAAGAGGGGATTGATTTGTTTAGCCAGGGAATCGATCTTGTAACCCAAGGGATCAATCTGGTCAAGCTACTTAATTGTATCCTGTTTTGCACTCTACTCTCTAATTTGATCATATCTTGAGTTTAATAATTCCAAATCAAAAACCATTGAAGATTTAGAAATTAAACCTAAAGAGCTTTCTAGCCATGTAAAATTCATCACCTAATTCATTGTATACGAATTATATGAATTTTCAAATCTACCTTTTATGTAGTTTTTAGACAATTACAAAGTGTCTAGTAAAAATTCAAAATCTTTTCTTAGAAATTTGGATTTTGATTTTGTTTGATCCATTAGAAAGTAGACTCAAAGAACTTTCCAACCATGTAAAATTCAAATATTAAAACTTTGTGAATTAATACAGAAAAATGAAACAAATTTAATGTTGGAAAACTTTGTTTTTGTAAAAGAACTTTCTTAAAGTTAATCTATTTCTTAAAGCCAATATTATCAAAAATGTATTAAGTTCAAAATGAATAAGTTCACTTTAAAAACAATAATTGGACTTTCATTTAAACTCAAATAAATAATATATAAAGATAGTTTTGATTTGAGAAATAAGAAAACATAGAAAAAGATTTGTTTAAACTTTGAAAATCATATTATTTATTTAGTACCAAAATAATAAAACTTAAGAACATGTACTAAATATATCTTTTTCAAAATCTTGATCAAGCTTATTTAGCTTAATGTTTTGTCATTTTAAAATAAAGATCAATTCAACACTAACAATCCCCCTTTTTGAAATGATAAAACTTAAAGATAAATTTGCTTGATAAAAAACTTTCTTTAAGACATTTAAGATTTTTGAAAAACATATAGAAAAACTTCGTTTAAACTTTGCATGGCAAAACTCCTTCTCGATTAATGCATCCTAATCCAACACAACTCAACAAACATATGTTAGTCAAATATATTAAATAAGCACAATCAAATATATACATGTCAAGCACAAGCAAATTTATTCATATAATATTTCTCCCTTTTTTTGTCATAGCAAAAAGGCATAAGCATATTAATGAGCAAATAAACACAAAAGGCATCATAAACAAATATATTCATGAAATATTTCTCTCTCATTTTTGTTTAAGTTCTTTATACCAAATGTTAAAGTTTCTATACCAATTGCTATAAACATACAAGAAGAAAAATTTATAAACTCTCTCCTTTTTTGTCATTGTAAAAGAAAGAGAGATCAATTCAAGGCATGAGACAATATGCATGATACCAATAATACCAAGAGTATTTTTGAATGCATGTAATCAAGTGATATTCAAAATCAAGTTCAAATACATGTATTCAAACACCAAAGCATAAAAGTATTCTAATGTATCCAATTTTAGCATTTTAGTACAAGTCATCAAATTTACTAAATGAAATTTATGAGCAAAGGATAATGAATAATATGCAACGTACTCATAAATCATGATAGCATAAGATGTGTTTAGAACCTAAAATATCAATAGCGATCAAGCATAAATTCAAGCACATGCATACAAGCTCATACCAATTGTTCAAGATACCAATTGTTAAAGATATGTTATCACAAAGCATATCAATTGTTATCACAAAAGAAATCAAGCAAAATTGTATTCTAAGATTTCTCCTTCTTTTCAAAATAAGGATTAATCAATTTAAGGCACACACAATTTTGCATGAAAGGTACAAGCTATATCAAGGATAGGCACATAAACAAGTGTCCATGAAAGTTAAAAAAATTCTTTAGCAATTTGGATACCAATTATTACCAATTGTTAACTATTTTGTTCACAAACTTTCAAGGATCACAATATATTTCAAGCATATGAAAAGTTTAATCAATACATGCATAATAGCATTTTTTCATAAGCATATCCTATCTAAAATAAATATTCAATCATCATTTTATAGCGAAGAATTATACAAGCATAATGAACATATATGTTATAGCAAAGAAATAATAAAAGTATAATTATTCAAATATGTTTCAAATCATTTTAATGCAAAGTAGTATTCTTAATCCAAACATATGCAAGTACATAAATATAGTTCAGACATATTTTTCAATCCAAATCATACACGCATAGGCAAAAACATTTCAAATCACATATAACAATAAACCAATAAAGATACAAATATTTAGACATAATGTGGTACATGCTATAAATATGGTTCAAACATATTTTTCAATCAAAATCATACAAGTATATGCAAAAACATTTCAAATCACATAGAGCAATATACCAATAAAGATACAAATATTTAGACATAATGTGGTACATGCTATCTCAATGATCTCAATCAATGAACATGCTCAAAGAAATCAATCTATTTAACTCATAGCCATGTCCAAAGATTTAAACGAGTAGTCATGCAATAAAAACTATTAATCAAAGCAATCAAGAACTAGGCATGAATATCAATAAAGGTGAGTTAATCAATCCAAGCTTCCAAGAATATTAAAATAATATCTATCAAGTGGCTTGGTGATTAATTTGTGCAATGTGTTCATATGTTCAACCACAAAATCATGTATTTGCACATATCAAAGCAAGCATGTATATGTATTCAAACTCATACATCATATCATAAAGTTGATACATTTACCTCCATCCATATCAAGCTTTATTGTTGTGCTCATTTGGCTTTGAATTCTCTAATCACTTTGTTTGAGCAAAACTAGGCTTGACTTATGAGGATGACATGCTTTGCTTGTTATACTTGAAATTTCAAAAATGGAGGCTCATTCATGCTCATTTCAAGTTCTCCTAGAATAGACTTAGAAAATATTCTTGACAAAGAAATGTTCATTAATAGCATCAAGAATATCAATTGATAAAAATTATACTAATTGTTAGAAAATGAATTCCATATTCTAAATCATTATAGGCAAAAGAAAATTTTGCTCATTAAGCACAAGTTGCCAATTTGCTAGCAAATCGTTGAATATTAACTAAAGCTATAGACCGTTCATCATAATAAACATCATATAGCACAATGGTG